ATAACCGCAGAAAAAAGTTATGAGAGAAATTGATTTCATCCGCCGCCGTTCAAATTGTCACGCGAGCTGCATTCGTGCACTGCCGGCTGCATAACCGGCGCCGCACGTACACTATTTGCAAAAAGCGGCGCGCGACCACGTGGTTCTGGGGCTGTAGACTGTCGGTTGGTTTGTATTGATCGGCCCTAGTGGCGACTTTTATGTTGTGATGATGAGCGAGCGAGCTCTCTCGTCGGCGGCTATTTTATTCGCTGACGTGCTTTCCGCAGCATGCAAGGTTAAGATCAATCGACAAGCGGGGCCGATTTCCATTTTCATTGCCAACAATCGCGTGGAAATTTGCTCGACCGCGACAATGGAACGGCGGATTATTTGCGACCTCTCGGGCGTGTGCGTGAATTGATTGCTTATGGTCTGTGCCGCCGACCGCCAGACGTGACCTTCCGCCACCGGAGCAAAGCGCAGCCACCCCCACTCACCCCATATGTGCCCCTGACTTTTGATCTCGGCCTCTCTGGGTGCAGCCGCCGCGAACGGTGCGGAAAATATCCTATTTATTTTTCTGCGCTGGAACTTTTGCTCCATATTTTGCCTTTTTGCGCGTTGTTTGAAATAACAACTGACTCATCATGCAAATTTGCCCTTTGTGTGTGCAGGTTGGTTGCCGGTTGGTTTTCGTTCGTTACTCGCAATCAAAAGGCAAAAGTTTGTCCCGTGCTGGAAAATTTATATATCGCGGTCTGATCTGAACTACACATTAATTTTTTCAATAGAGGCCAATTTTCAACATTATCTTTCTTTTTTGCTTCCAATTTATAAAACGAAATAGCTTTTTCATGAAAATATATTTGGCAAATTGATTTTAGGGATACATCTCTCCTTTTTGTGAGCAGTCATTACAGCAATGTAAAGTGGTCGTTAGTTGGATTTTGGTTTCGCCGCTCGTAAAATGTTCCTATGGAGACGGACGAAATACATAAATGTGTATCCTGTCTCAAAACGCATAGAGGGAGGGCTTCGGGCAATAAAGTTAATGGCATATTTCTTCGGCTATTACTGCCAATTGTGGTCACTCTGACACGCACCGCCTAAATTTAAGGGGATGGGACATAGTGCAATTTATGAATGTTTTAAAATTATTGATAACTCGGAGCAAAGTAGGAGGGCGGAAATTTAGCATTTTTTTATAAATTATAAAAGAAGAGGGTAAAGAAGAAAAACGGAACTATCACAATTTCTGGCCAACAATTTAGAATCGGATCAAATATTTTTTGAAAGATCTAAGCTTGAAGAAAGCTTAAATGATTTTGTAACGGGAGTCAAAACAAATTTGATGACCTTTTTAAACTCTTCCTGCAATCTCTCTTCCAAACTGTTCAAAATAATATTTCTTTGGTCATTCAATTTCACTAATACTGTTCATACGTGGTGAGCTTTCTCATAACTAGAATTGATAATTAAGCCGAAACGAGCAAAAATAGTAGAATCGTCTCAAATAATTGAAGCTGGAAAAATAACTGCAAAACTAAATGTGCTTCTTTTTTCATAACTCAAAAGAACAGTTGGAAGGTTTGCGGTTAGTTTTTTTTATTATCAAATCAAGCTCTCTGTAGACTCCTCATTCATTTTTCCTAATGAGCCAAGTAGTATTTTTCTTAGAAAAAAGTGCCAGTCTGTTGACATTTTAATTCAATGGCTAATGAGTTCCGCACGTAATTGATACAGGCACGGCGAACAAAAACTGCCGCGGGCATCAGGTGTGCTACTGGTGTTACGTTTTGCCGGCAAAACACACTAAATCAGCGCTGCATAAAACCGCATGAATGCGACAAAGTCTGCGTCTGGTGCTCCCTGTCGCTGGTGTGCGCGACCGATAAAAAAGCGTCCCGTGTCTGGTTTCAATGGAGAGAAGAAGTTTACGTGTTTTGGTTCGGTCGTCGCCGCTCCGTGTGACGCTCCACTATTTCATCCGCGACCACATAGACACTCGGGACGGTGGCAATAAATTACACAATATGAACACCGACCAGCCTCAACCCTGTCTGAAAGTTCATGAATGAAATGCAAGATGCTAATTAAGAGCAGCGAAGAAAGAAAGAAAGAAAGCTGAGACGGGCACATTCACATAGCACTCTTCTCACGTGCACCGACACTTGATTTATGTGTTCTGTTCACATAACACAAACTGGCATTCATCTCGGCGTGAATAGATGAGTTTCCACGTTGACTTTGCTGCTTGCTGGCGTCTGGTATCTATTTATAAAAGTAACTCTTTTGCTAACTTTTCCTGTACATTTTTAGCGAGTTTTCCCGCAATGAATAATTGGATTTCAAACTTCAAACTGTTAATCAAAACTTATCACAAGTATCTTTCTGACATTTCAAAAAATTTCTATTTGCTGTTAAGGAAAAAAATCAAGTGGCTCAAAAATTTTTCTTTTAAACAGGGAATCTAAGGAAAAATGTTTGAAGCTGGCTTGATTTTTATTCTTATTAAATATTGTGAATTTGAAATAAATTCCAGTTACTCTGTATAGGAGCTTGTAATAAATATAAATGGCTGTATTTTAAATATGCTCATCAACTTCAAGTTTAAATAAATAAGCCTGTCAGGAAAAAATAATTCCTGTTTGTTTCGGTTTTTTAAATCTAAATTAAACGTTAAAATTAAAATAAATTAATGAAAAAAAAAACGTGGAAACTGGCACAGAACATACATAGAAGTTGAGAGTGGGTTGTTATTTCCAATTTCATTATATTATTTTGAAGTTCCAAATTTCTTTCATCGCATTTTCACTTTGCTGAATTGTTTTTGTCTAATTTTTCAAATTACCTCGTAGATATTTTACATTCCGAATGTTCTGTTGAAAATTTAATATTTAAATTAACTATAGAAATGTAAACACAAATTTCGAAACAGTTAGAAAATTTCCAAAGCTAATTGCTTAAGTTATTTTCCACCCAACGGAGTAGTTTTGCTCCAACCAAACAACGGAAAAGCTCGGCGTCACGTTTTCCCAGTGGAGAGAGGTGGAGTCGCACTTTTCAAGTGCCGCTCACTCGAATTTGCGCGCAAAATTAACTTCATCTCGCACCGCGTTATTGCGCTCTCGGCTTTTAATAAAACGCACACATTCTGTACCGCCATCATATTTCCACCTTTCCGGCGGCGAGCAGACCAGCCACCGACAGTCAGACACCTCCGAGTGCAATTTTCGCAGCGGCAAATGAAACTTTTCCGCCACTGCTTTATTAAATCCGTCGACGCGGACGCGTGGAAAAGCAAATAATAAAAAGTAAAAATAAAACAACAAGGCTAAATATGGCAACAAAAAAATGAAATAATGCTACTCTCGGGAGAGTCGTGCAGAGTGAAAGAGTGTTTCTATCGATTATGGGCGCACTCGCGACGTCCGCTGCACAAGGGCGAGCAGCGTGGTGTCTGCAAAAAGGGCGCATGATCCCTGGCGCGGCGGAGGGAGTGAGTCTGTCGGTCTCTCGGTTTGCTCGTTCGGCAGCGCCCGCCCGCCCGAGTACTCGCGCCGAGTACTCGGTCCTGACCTTTCTAAATAGAACGTAGACGGTGGCGGGGCCGGGGATACCTGTTGCGTTCCGCCGTCTGCTCCCGCAGCAGCAGCCAGACTGCACCGAGCCAGCCCTCGCTCATTATTGCACTGCACCCGCCCGCCGCCGGTGAGTGACTCTCCTCGGCTCTTTTTCGCGCACTCCGTCTGCCAATCGTTTTCACTGTCTCGCGAACTTGAGCCTCTCTGTTATTCATTTTCAAACCTTGCTTTCTAAAATTTCTCATTTTTGGTAATGCACATCCACTTTTATTTGTTAACCTTTTTTATTCCCAATCTTAAATGCATGAAATTGTTCTGTTTGTGAAGAATTTGTGTTGCAATATTTGCATTAGTTTTTTTATATTAAGTAATCTTTTGGACAGTTAAATGATTGTTCTTATTTTTTTTCTCAATTTTTTTACTTTGTAATTGCCTTGGAAGTTGTTGAAGTTTTGAATAATATTTTTTACATTTAATGGTGCTTCTGCATGTCTAGTATATTCTCATATATGTTTATCATTCAAATTTACTGTATCATTATCCTTCAGGGTTGAAAGAAAGATAGCTTTTGTTTTTATTTCTTGAAGAAGGACCACAGATTAGCTTTTGAAAAAAGGTAAAAAGGCTAAACACGAAAAAAAAATTACACTAGTTCTTTTTAAGATCACATTACAGTTTACAGATTTATTATAACAAATTTTTTTTAAATTTCGTTATTAGATTCTAACTTATTTTCAAAGTATGTAGCATTTTTCTGTTTGTTTTTAAGAGCACTAACCTAGGTTAATTTTTTATTTCTTTCAAATGATGGTGTGCAAATATTCATAATTTATACTATAATTATTTCCATAAATGATTGAAGGCCAGATTTTATTTTGCTAGTGTTTATATTTAATAGGAAAATTTCAGGAAAACAGAATTTAGTGAATAAAAAATTATTTAAAAAGTAGTTTTATTCAGGTTTTTTACCAACTAAATAAAAGCAATTTTTCAGAAAAACATTTATCAAAAAACTGTAGTAATTTAAAATAAAAAAATAAAAATTGCAATCCAAAGGTTGCACTATTTAAAATTAAATTACATAATGTCCAAAATAGTTATATTTAAAAATACAATGAATTTTTGTGTAAAAAATTTAGGCACTTAAAATGGTGTCTTGTCTGATTTTTTTCTTGTTTTAATTTTACCAATAATATCTGTGTTGTTGATTATACAAATCAATGTATCAGAATTACATTAATACCAACATAATAATTCATTGTTCACGGATCATATCATACTTAGTATTCAATTACTATGAAATATGATACAATCGGTACGGTTCAATTACACTGATTGAACTATAATGGGAAAATGGAAATTAAATAATAATTAACCGCAGCCAACCAATCTCTGTGCAAACACGCTTGTTTGACTTTCAAATTTGTGTTGCAGGAGTTGGAGCCGACAATGGCCCAGGCGTGCTCACCGCCGATTTTCGGCCTCCACCAGCCTCCAGAACTGAGCCTGGGAGGTTCGTCCTCGTCGCCGGCGTCGTCACACCCGAGCGGCGACTCGTCGTCGTCGGCGCCCAGCTCGAGCTCCACCTCCCCCGTGACCTCTGACCTTGAGCACCAGCAGGGCGAGATATTCCAGCGTATCAATGAGTTACTACAAGATCCATGCGCCGAGGATAGTCTATCCTCCCCAGACTACCACGGTAAGGCCACCCACCCCCACCTCGGTTCGTTTGCAACCCCCTAGCTGCTGCTGCTGCTGCCGGCGGCGGCCGAAAAAGGGTTATTCACTCACACACTCGCTCCCACCCTTTCACCCGCCCACCCGCCCGCCTGCCAGACGCGACGTGGCGCGTTCCGATAGTTAGTCCGATTGATTATTGCTTTTCGCTGCCACCGCCGTCTCTCACTCTGCGTTTTTCTCCCCTGCTTTCTTTTTTTTTTCTTTTTGAATTTCTCGTCGTGTACACGTCCCTTTACTTTTTGCCCCGAGGCGCTGTGCGATGAATGGCTGCTGATTACTTTCCGAGATTTTTTGCGCCCAAAGTAGTGAAGCCCCGGCCGGCTTTAAAACGCGATCAGCTCTTTCATCTAATTTGCATTCCCCGTCAAGCTGCGCTGAAAGCCGCTTTTTTCTCTCCTCGCTTTTTGAAGTGCTCAAATCGTGAATGTATGTACGCGGAAAGAGAAATAATGAATTTTGTTGCCAGCGAGACGCAAATAAAAGGTTTAAAACAGACGCTCGACGCCGACAAATCTGCTCTCGCGCGCGCACGTGCTCCTGAAACGTAGCAGCTCGGAAGCACAGTAATTTTTTTCAACAGGATTTAGCAAATTAATTTAAAATATGTCTGGGATTGCTTTTTGCACTCTCTCGTTGGGCTTATAAGCTGTTGTGGAGTTTAAAAGCTCTAGAAACACTCAGAACTGCGTGAAAAGCTTTATTTATCAAATTTGCAGCTTTGGAATAAAATTAAATCCTGCGAAAGCTGAAAAAAAATTATGACGACTCTTTTTTTTCTTTTGATGTCCTATAATAATAATAATAATCAAAATATTACACAACTTTTATTGCTTTTTTTTCTCATCCAAATTAAAAAAAAAAAAAATCGAAAATATCATGGGTTCATTGCAGTAATAAGGAAACATACTAGAAATAAAAATTTATTTGTTTTCAGTTCACTGCTTAGAATTTTACTAATTGTAAGGCATGAAAAAATCAATGGGATGAGAACAGAGTCTAAAATAAATGGCAATTTAAATGTGTAATAAATGCAATAGTAGAGATGAGAGACGATAATAGAAAACGATATATCCCTTTTATAAAAATTGCATTATTCCATAGAACACAATAAAGCAATAAATAAATGAATGAATGGAAAATGACATTCATTGCTCTGGCAAATAGCCCGTTGAACAGGAGAATTGACTTTTTGCTCCTGTTGTAAGTGCAATTTTGTCTCGCTACCAACTTCAAGAGGGCCGAAATCCAATCGCGAACGCCCTTTAAAAAATAATCAAACATAAATTCCATTTATAAAGTAACTCACAATTAATTGCGAATTACGCAACAATTCCGTCTAAAAACCAATCACCAGCCAATTTGCCCAGAGCACAAAAGAGAGAAAAGCGGCGAAATTACTGATCCGCCATTCGCAACGAGCTGCACAAAAGACCGCTGACAAAAAGCAGCGCGCTCGAAAATTGAATTTGCCCAGCGGGCCGAGTGACGGTCTGGCGGTTTTGTGTCGATTTTATGTGAGCGAGTGACTAATTAATCGTGGCGTGTCTGTTGACAGCGGAGAGCCGCCGCAACCTCTCAGACTTATTGACCATGAGTGTTCCACGAGGCATGAGGACGAACCACCCCGACAACCAGGGCCTGAATAACTTCAACCCCCTGCGTCTTCAGATTAACCGGCAGGAGAATGCCAATCAGCAGCACATGGTACGTTTCAATCACTTTCGTTCCTCATTTTTGTTTCTTCTTTCATCTCACTTCTAAGAATAAAAAAGAAGAAAAGTAAAGAGAGAATGAGAGAGGCTCAGGTGCACGAACCTCTTCTTTTTTTCCGACAGCGCCTTCTGCTTTGTGGTGGGAAACTGGGTCTTGGCTATTTACAGCAAAAAGTGAAATATACCCGATGGAAACTTCTACCGCCGTCATGTACGCGTACAGATAAAAAGACCCTGCATTGCACACTTGGCTCCTCTTTACTACGGAGAGTCGTGATCGAGGGTGTTATATAATATGATGCGTCCGTGCGGAATAAAAGTTGCTTTTTACTTCATTCTTGCGATTCAAGATTTTGTTGGAAGATTGAATATCAAGCTAAAAAAAAAAAAAATATCATTTAGAAAAGTGGCTTTTACGTGAACTGCGAAGTTGACTAGTTAAAATTAAAAATCAACTTTTGTCTTGGTTAAATGCTTTTTCATTTTACCCATAAATTGAAAATCTGCAAGAAATGAAGTTTTTAGCAAATTATTATTCTACTTTATTATTTGATTACTTTGGAAATTATCAGGTGTGTTTCCATGAACTCGTTAGTTAAAGTCAAAAGGCAGCGTTAAACATTTTGTTCCTGGAAAAGTTATTTAATCATTTTAGCAGACAGGCGGAAAGTGAGCAGCCGCCCAAAAAGCTAGCGTTTATCTCATTTCCTCAATTTCCCGGAAAAGTGCCGCGTTCGCCGGTCTCCAACTTTCCTTCTCTCGGGGCTCTTTTTGCACCCGTGGCAAGCACAAAGAAATTGCGTTATTGCTTTATTAATAGGGTGCCGGCCGCGCACATGTGCCCCTTTCTCTCTCGTCGTCAGAGGGTGCGTGAGTCATGCGTTGCGATCTTTTGCAGATGACGTCGCCAGTGGACGAGCAGGGAAACTACCGCATGATGTCGCGTGGCTCCAGCTACTCGCCTCCTGCGTACCAACAACAGCACCACCACCACACCCAGGACTATCAGATGCACAACCACCAGCAACAGCAGCGCGCCACTCCGCCCACGCACGGCACGCCGCGCCAAATCAGAGGGTCCTTCAGGTACGAACCTTTTAATTAAGTAATTATCATCTCATCTGCTTCATCTGCTGAGATTTTTAGCGTAAACAGAAGTTGGGCTTTGGTGAGATATTATACGTTTTGTTTATTTTAATTTGAGTGGCAGCTTTTGTTTTTTTTTCCATCTCGTACGTCATAACAAATTTTAAATCCTGTTACTTGGAATTTTATACGGGTGCTGGTTTTATTTTAATTGTTAAATGTGTGGAGTTGATTTTGGATTTTGTAAATAATGTTTAAAATTTACTACCTGGGGAATTTATTTGTAGTTACTAACTAATTGGTGTCATATTTTGGCAGATTTGTTGATTAGTGTTGCGCTGAAAGATAAAAGCTAAACTAAAAACTCAACTTCATAAAATTAATTTGAAGACCAGATTTATTTTAAAAAACCTTCAGTTTCACTGCCTGAAAACGCCACCTTTTTCAGGTCTACTGACCAGCCATTCATAAATCCATATACAAATTATACTATGGTTAAAATGAAAATAATAAGTTAATAAAATAATTTCTTTTCTCTTTGGTCAGAAAAATTCATAAAACATGCCATGGTTTGAGAATTATAATTGGCAGAAAATGTTAAAGAATGTGTCATTTTCATCATTTAAACTTTTGACACATGAAAAGGTCTACTGTTTTTATTTGGTTTTGGGTGTGTGCGTTGTTTTTCTAACCGGGTGCGTGGCCTTGTGTGTTGCAGCTGTAGCAAAAAGGTGTCAAGCGGGGTGGCTACGCAAGAGCCGCCGGCGTGCGTCGGCGAGCGTATCGTCGGCGGCAACGCGTGCTGCGCCAACAACTCATCCACGCACCACACTGCCGCCTCGTGCGCTTCCTGCCTTTCCCATCTCCATCATCACTACAACCAAAAACTTGACCAAATCACGCTGCAACGCATTGCCAAAGCGCTGATGACCCTCCGCTCTCGTTCCAGTGACTCAGGCACTCCTTCCTCCCTAGAGCATGCGGCCATGATGGCCACGGCCGGCTTCTTTCCCAACAACAGGTCCCGCTCTCCGTCCCCGGCAGACATCGACGCCAACTTCGCGACGCCCAACGAGCTCGCCAGCCTAATGGTGTGTTGTTTTTAATTTTTTATTTACGTTTTTACTCTTCACTTTGAGGAGAGGCTTCTGCTAAAAACGGCTGATATTTTTTCTCTAAATTAGAATTGGTTTGTAAACCAATATTTTAAGGAGACATAAGAAAAGTTGAATTTAATGTGAGAAATAAATTTTTGAAAATAAAATTTAATTTTTTTTCTCTCAAATTGGCCTCTGTAAAATTGATACAAATTTCACAAAATCATGTTTATGTTTTCCCAATCAACTTGGCAAAATAAAATCAATGAGTAGGTCAGCAATAAAAATTTACAAAATTATTTATCGGAAAAACGTCCAGTTAATGTTTGTATCACTTAAGTTCCTCGTTAATTCTAACAAGCGACTTTGATGGCTTGCAGCAAACACTGTGCTTGACTCATCAGCATCACCAGTTCAACCAGAACAATGGTGGCGGGGGCCTCATGAGCCCTCTCAATGACCTGCAGGAAAACCCCCTGAGGCTTCACATGCAGAATCAGGTAAAATCCAAGCTATAAGAATATGACTACTTTATTCATAAAAAAGAAGACTGTTGAACTTTTTTTTGTATAAAGGATAAAAAGTAGCTAAACTGCATGTTTGGAAAGGCAACACGCTCCTCACTAATGTCAAGCCGGTTGCCTATTACTCTTGTTAGAGGCTTTTATTTATTTTTCAGGCCTATATTAAAATTTTTTATAATACTTTATTATTTAAAAACATTCATGCAACTTTATTTAAATCTTAACAAAAATTCAATTCAATTGGTTTTTTGCTCTTGGAACAAGTCAATAAGGAAAAGAGATTAATCGGACTAATTTTTATCTATTAATGGATTGCATTTTCAGCAACAGATCCATCCGAGTTCCCTGCTGGCCCTGCTGCAACAGCAGTGCCCTGGAACTCCCAGCTCACCGACCGACTCGACTAGCAGCAGGCAGAGACAGTGGCTGACCTCCCAACAGCAGCAGGCTGCCGCCGCAGCTCTGCTCCTCACTGACCCTACCTCACTGGAAAGGGCCGCAAGATGCCACAGAATTGCTGCTCGTATGTGTCAGTAAAATGCACAGTGAAAAAATTAAATGAATTGTTTTTTTTTACAGAGGTGCACGAGGCTACTGTGTCCTGGAGTGGAACTTTGCCTCCCAGGGTGCATTCAAATCCAATATACTCTTGCAAGGTAAAATCAAAATTTTAAAAAATAAATTTATTTATTCATTTTAAATTATAAGGTCTTCTTGGGAGGAATACCTTGGGACATCTCCGAGTCCATCTTGATTTCAGCCTTTGAGCAGTTTGGACCTGTCAAGGTAGAATGGCCAGGGCGTGAAAACTCGCCTGCTCGAGCCAAAGGCTACGCCTACATAATTTTTGAGGAGGAGCATCAGGTACTTAAAAGCTAGGAACCATTAAACATTAGGAGATTTATTTGGTCTTCTCTTGCAGGTTAAGATGCTACTGCAAAGCTGCACCCAGGACGTACTGAGTACAGGCAACTGGTACTACAAGATATCCTCTCGCCGCATGAAGGCCAAGGAAGTTCAGGTTATACCGTGGATGATAAACGAGGGCAACTACGTCAAGAGCCCCTCCATCAGACTTGACCCCCAGAAGACTGTTTTTGTTGGAGCTTTACATGGAATGCTTAATGCCGAGGGCCTTGCCAAAATCATGAACGAGCTATTTGAGAATGTCATCTACGCTGGTAAAATCAAAATAACTTAAAGGTCTTTTACAAACTAAAAAAAACTGTGTCCCAGGCATTGACACGGACAAGCACAAATACCCGATTGGCTCAGGAAGAGTGACTTTCAGCAGCAGCCGCTCCTACATGAAGGCAGTTGCTGCTGCCTTCATTGAGATCAGAACTAACAAGTTCACTAAAAAGGTATTATTTTATCCTATAATATAGTAAAGTACAATGTCTAAAAAGAAAAAAAAAATACTAATTTCAGGTCCAGGTTGACCCATACCTTGAAGACTCTCTGTGCTCTGCTTGCAACCTGCAGCAGGGCCCCTACTTTTGCCGGGAAATGGGCTGCTTCCGGTACTTCTGCCGCACTTGCTGGCGTGAGCAGCACTCCCTGCCCACAATGGTGGCCCACAAGCCATTGATGCGGGTCAGCAAGACCTCTTCTCAGTCCTCGGAGGCTCCGAGGCTCATGTAGAGGCCACACTCTTCATCTCTGATCGACAGCAGTATTTTTTTGTGTTCCTATATCCGTACGATTTATAGTCCCAGGCATATTATTATCGCCGTGTAGAAAGATGTTAGGCCACGATTTCTGCAAAACTCACACATTTACACTCCTGCCTCCAAAATGTTGAGAAACGTCCAAATCGTCTCCTAGCGCACCACTTACTTCTTGCATACGTACGCAGGGACAATTTTTGCCCGCCCTGCGCGACTTTTTGGAACCGTTTTTAGGGCCGTGAGTTTTATTATCTTGTCTCAAGAGTGTTACCACATAGACTGTCCATACTAAGTAGTGTAGGTGTGCATCAGGGTTGCATAACTGCATGTGCGGAATGCTTTTAAGGAACATTTTACCGGGCTGGGCGGTTTAAGTAAGAAAAAATAGAAACCAATCGAAGCAAGATGGGATAATTATTGAACAGGTCTTTCTTCAACTCATTACCAAGTAAGCTCCTCTAGGAGCGCATTTCTATTTAATCTCACACACACACACATACACTCTATCACGATTGATATTTTTTGTTGTTGTTCAGGCTCAAAAATCTGATGCCGAAATACTCTAATGTTATCGATAGCATAACTCTATATTATGATAAATATTATATATAGTTCTGTTGTTGTCGGGTGTGCAATTCACCAGTGGAAAAATATTTTGCATTCAAACAAACAAGTACGTTGCTCGAGGTAAACCTTGTCAATAATCCAGATTGATCGGGCTATTACTCCACTGACCTCTGCCTAGAGAAAGAGAAAAAAATCTTACTTTAAGCCTCATTCTCCCTCTCTTTGATCCGTTTATTTCAACCATTATTGATTTTTAATTTTACTTAAAGCCTCCACAATATTAACAAGGTGCCTTACTTTGGCCACCTTGCCAACCCCATTGTTGAAAAAAATCTGTCGCTGCTCTCTCTTGGTGTTTAAATGAAACATGCTCACGATTCTCAACGATTTTGCTGTCCTCCGAGTTGGGTGTTTTTTGGTGATGATTTAAATATCGAGAAACTTTTACTCAGCGTTTTAAGTCGACTTTTAATGTTACCGCGCTTTTACCTGCCTTTTTTAAAGTCAATTTTATTGCCCATCGTCACACACTTTAACTTGTTAAGCCCGCAGGGAGAGGACTTTTGCCAAAGCATTTTTGATCAAACAAAAAGCGACTGAATGCAGGAGAGAGCATCACTTTACTTAGAAAAAGCATCTTGTGCCAAACACGGGGCTAACGAACTTACTTAGCAAACGGAGTCAGAGAGGCCCGCGCCTGCTGCCGACGAGATTTTAATTTTTTCCCCCGAAACAACCGTTGGGTTTGCACTTTGCATCAAAACTAGGGCGGGCGTGTGGCCGACCGAGGTGATTGAATGATCGATTTAAAAAATAAAAAATTATTATCATATTATTGATTATAGCCCCTTTATATACCTACACACAGTTTTAAAAGAATGGCTTTTTGAAATCTTTTTAGTAAGCTTTGAGAAATAAACTAGCACAAGAAGTAACTAACTCACTCACACACATTAATCTTAATAGACGAAAAAATTAGCAGCTATATGCGAGGTGTTTTTATGTAACTCAACAACGTCTTTATCACATAATATCTCTTTGTATCTCTTTCTGGTATATTTAAAAAATGTTTTAGAATTTTTCCAATTTTTATGGTCGTTTCCAATTTTGTAATAAATTTTATAGAAAATGTGAATACAAGAAGAGTTTTGCCCTATTTTTAAATACGAAATAATATTTGCTTGGCGATTCTTAATTCTTGAATACGATTGAAAAAAATACTTGAGAAAAACAAGAACACATAATTATAAATATGAAGAACGAGAAAAATAATTTTGATTGTGTGCAGTTTATTTTTTAAAGTGAGAGTGAATTTCCGCCACGAATTGATCGCGCGATATTTTTTTAGCTTTATAAGAAACTACTCAAAAGAAAGTTTGTAAAAACTGAAAATGTAGCAAATTGGCTGCCCCGTGCGAGACAAAATTTTGAAATGTGGGAAAATGATTTTCGAAGCACATGCATAATTCGAGCGGTTTGTTTCAGTTCCAACCTATTAATTAGAGAGGATCTAAGATCTGCCAAGGAATAAAACTGAAAACACGAGATTGATGCTTAAGCTGATACGATGATATAATATTTTTTGAAGAATAATATTTTTCTCTGATTTTATATTGAAATTTCCATAAAGGTTATTGATAAAATAGTGGATGTTGTACACGTGTATTTTACAATAACAGTAGGCCTCTGTGAATACAAAAAAGAGAGAAAAAATTATATCAAAATAAAATAATTACTGTAATTATCGAGAGAACGATCAAAATTAACCGTAATCCAAGATCAGAAACGAAGCAAGGTTTTAACGAATGAAAAGTATTGAAGAAAAATCTACTCAGTATCACGATGATTAAATTAATGGTGCCTACTCACTTATCTTCTAATGTTATATGCCTTAAAAATTATTCAGTGTATATCAAACGCATTAATGGATCAGTGTAAAATTTATCAGAAAAAATACGCGAACGAACCCTTCCTTGAATCACACGAGATTGTTTCCATCGTTTTAATTCTACTGGGCCGATCGTCGAACGCATACATTGGCCTACACACACATTTTAACGCTGCTTCGCCCTGCCGAGCGGCGGGAGCCTTGTGCAACGGCGCCCCCGCGAGCCGGCAGGGACTCTCAATGTGGAAGATAATATTTTTCAAAAAACAGATTTTATGCAAGAAAAAAATATGTGAAAGAAACAAAAACGGGCCTCTTTAAATCTTCCTTTCCGTCTGTCCGCTCTCTCACAAAATTCACCACAACGTCGTCAACTAACACACTTCCGATCCTCTGTTCTATGTTTTTGAATTTTTGGTACCTATATTTGAATTTTTTGATATTTTGTTTTACTGAATCATTTCAGCTCTAGTTCGAGCTTTAATCCTCTTATATCAGGATTTATTTGAGTTTTCTGTAATTTGTACAATTACACTTAATTATCGATTTTTGAAATTCCATTAAAAAAAAATAACTATATATTTGTGTGGATTTATGATTTTGAACTATTTTTGCGATGTAAAATCGATCACGCATTCCGAAGACAGAAACAAACGACACTACGATTACCAAAAATTTAACATGTACGATGAAAGTAAATACAGAAAGAATTATGTACTGCCCTGCATGTTTTTGGTAGTTTCTTCATTTCTCGTTTAATTTTATCACAATTACCTTGCAAGTGATTATCATGCGAAATGGTCTGTCATTTTCAACGATGTACTCGATTGATAATTGATTTTGTGCCTATATTACTCCATGATTATATTGTAAAATCAGAAATAAAAATTGGCAAATAGCAACCTTTGGATTTCTTACTATTAATGAAAAAGCTTCTTCACCAAATTTTAATGAATTTCCAAACAATTCAAAATTCCTGGGCATATAAAATTCGATTGTAGTTACAAAAGGTGATCAAAAAAACATTTTCGCTGACATAACCTTGTGAATTAATCTTTTTTTATAAGAAAAAAAAGCACTGAAAACTTTAATGAAATAAAAAAAAAATTAAAATATCATAAATGATATAAAAGTTGTACCTTGGTATTAAATAAGTTTTAGTGGATTTTTATGTGTATATAAAATTTTGTAGCTTTTAATGATTTCATCATTAATTACATCTGATTCTGAAAATGAAAAAAAACCAAAGCTTTAAAATTGATTTAAATTTTAAAAACTAAAATTTTTACATTTTAATTGCTAATTAGAATTTTCTCACAACTTCATCAAACCTGTTGCCAAGAAATTATTTAAACAAGCGACAAAAAAATTACAACATTAACAATAATTTAATTTTTTTAACCGTTTACCCCAGTTTACCCTTTTAAAAGTATAGTTAAATGAATATTCAATCAGAAATTTAGTAGATTCGAGTAGGTCAATTCAAATAATGTCGTGATATGTACAAGCTATGCATCACTATGCATGTTAATTCACAATGCCGGCTCAGCATAATTATTATCTCTCGATTATAGGCATGATTGCAGCGTCAGCGCCTTCAACTTCAAAAGGTATGCAGACCCGCCGAGCATACATGTTCGACTAAAAGCCTAACCGGTCCTCACCTCGACCGGGTCTCCTTTCACAAATTAAAATAAGTTAAAATTAAATCGAAATAAAATGTAAAAAAATAATAATGTACAGAAAATGAATGAATTCGAATCGGGCGCACGCGATTTGGGGCGCGTTGCGAGTTGAGCCGGGCGCCCCTAGATGTCGGAATCCATACAAGGGTTGAACGAATGGACGAAGGGTGCGATTCGAGCAATTCAGCGAACGGAAGCGCGAACGAAGAAGTAGCGAGCAAGCAGGGGCCGCACCGCGATTCGGCTGGCGACTGACTTGGCACGGGAAATTAATTCGGCGGCCGAATAAAGAAGCGAGTCGGCAGGCGTTCGGAAATCAGGCCAGCGTGTGCCGTGCTGGCGAATCGATACGCGGGGGGCGGCGGAGGCGGCAGCACTCGCTCTCTCTCTTTCTCTCTCTCGCTCCGACCGCTGCTTCTGCTCAGTGTGTGTGCACCCGCGAGACACGAAACGCCCCTCGCTGCGCTCAGCTCGCTCGCTCGCTCTCTCTCTCTCGCTGTATTATTTATTTATTTTTGTAAAAATGCACTGGAGAAAGTTGGACAGTTGCTGCTGATCGTGGTCGTCCGTCGCCTTGCATGGATTTCACCTCCAGCTAGACGCCGCGAATCGGAATCTCGGTGAGTATCTGTCTCTGCACCTTCTTTTTTGCTTCCATTTTTGCACTGTTATGTAGTCGGTCGGCGGTCGGTCGCGCTCGCTTATTTCGGGCTGTGGTTGCTGCTTTTTGCTGGCTCGCTCGCCGTGGAATGGGGTCGCGTGCCTCGGCTGGGCCAGGCGGGTTTCTACTCGTCTCTCAAACGCGATCACCTTTGAGAGAGAATAAATACATTCCCCACAGCTGATCGGCTGATTATGCCTCTCGTTTGATTTCCGTGGCCTAATTTTGGCTCGTTGAGTTAATGTACTTTGGGTGATTTTTTTTTGATTTGGCATAATTAATTTTGGTTATTTAGGACTATTAAATGAGTAAAAAGGTACCATTTTCCAGTTATAGGTGCTTGAAATTGTCAAATTTTAAAGAATATTGTACTTTAAATATAATTTTGAACTACAGTTATCATTTTTTTTTTTTTTAAATTTACTTTCCAGAACAGTGAGCTTTTTCTCATTTTTTGAGCAATTTCAGTATCTTCTGTTTGACTTTTCAATGAGAATAATGAATGGATGATTTTTCTTTTTTCGCGCAAATTCGCTCGGAGGGCGAAACAATTGGCATCTCTCGGAAGCCAACTTTCCCATTCATACCCGCCCGTCTTCTCTCTCAAATTAAAATTCCACGGCGGAGAAAGAATGAAAGACGTGGACTTAAATTTATTATTATTATTATTGGCGGCGGCGGCGGCGGCGGGAAGATTCACTTGCGTCTCGGCCGATGGGCGTTGGGAATGAGTGAGAGAGAGGAGGAGCGAGTTTCATTAGGAAATTAAGTGGAGTTGCCATGTTTTAATTAAGAAGCGGTTCGAATGGCTCTTTCTCGTTCTCCCCGGTTCGCCCGCTTTGTGTTGCCTCGACGCCCCTTGAATGATAAAAGCAGCAGCGCGCCGCCGAGTGATTATTTGCAAGAAGAGACGGCCCGAGCACCAGACTTGCTCCTTGCAGATATAATAATAATAAGAACGGTCGCGTGCTGCCGAGCATTCGAACGATATATCAGATATATGTATATATTCGGTTTGCACACATACTCACTCACTTCGTTCCAAGCCTCAGTGAATTTTGATGTAGCGAAGTGAGTCGGTAATAAATAAACAATATATTTTTTTGTGTTGCCTCCTAAGGTTTACGTTTTTTCAGGAATAAATCTCAAAACACATAGAAAATAAAATTTCTTGAACAGAATTTTAAAAGTAGTGCGGCCTCATTAAGATTTAATTTTAATGATTGTTACGATTTTTGACATTATTAAAAATGAGGAAAGATATTGGAATTGCATTTATAATTTATGAATACTCTTTGATTGCTTTAAGTTAATACAGAGAGACAAGCGAGGCAGGACGGAAAATAAAAATTCAACCAAAAAAATAATTCTTATCCAAGATAGAAACACTCCCCTGACAATTAATTCAAAAAGAAAATTTAAAAATAATAATAATTAAATTCTGAATTTCACTATACCAACTTCAAAGTTTGCATTAACTTTTCAAATTTGACATTTTAAGTAAAATAAATAATAATTAACTGAAAGTGACCTGTGTTCCTAAACTTTTGAAAAATTGTCGGGTATCGCAAATTTGATTCTGGTTTAGTTTCTTTCAAACTTGTATCTTCAAAAGGAAAATTAATACTCCAATTTTTAGTTTTTTTAGTATGAAAATATGGATAAAAATTGGGATTTTCACCCTTTAACTTACGACTCCTTGTCAAGTATAAACAGAAAAGAAAATTAAAATTCCAACATTGATCTTCCAGCGCTAAACGGCGCTTTCAGCCATCCGCTTGTGGGTCTTCGCTAATCAATGGAAATAAAATGATCAATATTTACGTAACCACGTCGAACCAATGCCTTACACTGTCGTCCTCGCAGGGCAATCCGCTACCATTTTGCAATTTAGCCGCTTTTGGGAATAAAAATCTAATGGAACTGAATTTTGCTGTTCGAAAATGTTTTTTTTTGTCACTTTAAATTCTTCAATTTAAAATTTCAAAAAGAAAAATTATTAGTTTTAATAATTTCAAAGTTTATAAAGATGAGAGGCTTACGGAAACTCGTGGGTAGTAAAATAAAATGAGATTTGTGCAGAGGCACTGACAAACAATCAGGCGAGCGTGCCAAATCTGCGCGCTTCATTTTAAAGCCTTTAATTACCGGCTGTTCAGCAGCAGTCAATTGCACTTCTTGGTCCCCCAGCGGCTGCCTCTGAGTGAGTGGAGCAATCTGCGCGCCCTCGCCACCGAATCCATCGCTCCCCCAACAAGCTCGTTTAAAAACACATGCATATACGCACTCGTTGCTAATGTTTGTGGTGGCTGCGCGCGGTATCAAGGGCGAATCTCGAGGACTAAATTTCGAGCCGGCGCTTTTTTGTCTGTTTATCGAGGGCGAGGAGACGTGCAGGGGCTCGCGACCAACCAAACGACCGTGTTTACGACACAACAAAAATTTGTCATAAAGTTTAACGAACCTGCTGGGAATTAATGTCAACTTAAATAATGATAAAGCACAAACTCTATTATTTATAAATAATACATTGTTTATAATTTTGGTGACTTAAAAAAATTATCTTGTCCATTATTTCAACAAGGGTAAAAATTCAAAGAAATTTTTTTAGTTTAACAACTGTTATAAATTTTACAATTCATATAATCTGCTTCTCAATAAATTGTTTTCTATAGAAAAGTAAGCTAACTTTAAGGACAAATAATTTTATATTTTGAATAATAATTTAATTTTTAATTAACGAAATGTTAAATGACCAAAAGCAAATCAAAATTATATGATAAAAATAAGTACTTTTGTGCCCGAACTGCGAATAAATAAGTGAAACGGAGCAGCAGAAAGACAGACGGAATGACAGGGCCAAGTAGGGAATTTTGCGTGTTTGCTCCTCTATCTCTCTTGAGCCCCTTCCTTCTTCGCTCTCGCCGTTTGTCTGCTTTGTGAATGGCATGGCACACTCGGAGCAGCGCCGGGATGGGCTGGCAATTCGCAAGACTTGCACACACACTCTGCGTGTACTCGCATTTCCTCCTCGCCATGTACATACTTATACGAAACATACGCTCCTCTCTTTTAGGGTGCTATGCATTTTGCATATCAGCCCCGGCAGCCAGTCAGTGCCCAAGGCTTTTTATGTCGGGGCATCGCCTGCCTTGCCAAGGAAAATAAAAATTCTGATGAAAAGTTGAGGACGTGAGAGGGGAAAATAAAACTTTTTTACCAAAACACGCAAGTATTTAAAAGTGCAAGAAAGTGGTAAAATTAAATATTACTTACTTAAAAAACCACCTAAATAATGAGGATCAGCTGTTTCAATCCAGTTAAAACATTTTTCTTTTTATTAAGAAATTTTATAATATGTATTACAAGTGACTTGAAAATTTGGCTTTTAATTTAAAATTTAGAAAAATGAATTTATTACAAAAACGAGTTTTTGTTTTATTAAACAAAATTAAATAAGGTAAAAATTACCAGTAACAAATTCAGGAGAAATTTAATTGAAAATATGAAAGATTGACAAATAATTAAAATATTGACATAAAAGTGATTGAAGTCAGAAGAGTGATAAATTTTAAACTTTAAAATAGAATATGGGGCTACCTATGAAAGAACAACTTGACCAATCTGACCGTGACCTCTCTGGTCGAAAACTCTTACCATCATTTTTAGGTCAACAAGAAAGAAGCATTAAAAGAGAGAGCTTCGTCGCTCAAGTATCAAAGAGAAGCAAGCTCGTGTGAAAGATACAAAGTTCAAAAACATAATAATACAATAATTTATTTTGTCAAATACTCAAATTTTTGCTATTTTTAATTTTCCGTAACTCAAATCAGTTTATGAATCAATAATTGTTTTTATGCAACAAAAATGAGATTTCGCTCTGGATTGAGCTCGTTCAATCATCCCTGTCTTGCGAATTGAGGGCAACGCGAAAGAGCAAGCGAGGATTTCACACGCGAGCTTCTCTCTTTATGGTGTTTGACCTGCCTGCCGCCTCTGGCTGCTTCAATTTTGCTCGCATTGCACTGCAGAGAGCTTCGGCCTCTTTCCTCGCTCGGCAGCTGCATGTAGTATAGTACATGTGTAAGTACTTGTCTGACGGGTACTTAGAGCACTGCAGCTTCTGTTGCAATCATGCAATGCAATGGTGCAATCAATTGATCGATACGTCCTTTGCAACTCAAATCCGACGAGATTGAAAAGTCTAGCAATCTTTCCCATTGATTAAGTAGATATGCTTTCACCCATTATTAGGTTTTAATTAAAAATTTAATAGCTAAAATATAATTCGCATATTTTTTTCTTAATTTCTAATACTAAAGTATGACTTATCAAAGCGCTTAACCAACATAATTCTGAATTAATTAAAACATTAAGATTTCTTAATTAAAAAAGTACTAATTCCCACTTTCAGGGCTTGAATTGCAAAAAAGCATGTCAGACCACAAGTTCTGTTTGAATCATTTTCTTTTGACTTATGAAGGTCAGGGTAGTTTCTTGGATTAAAATTAGGATTTTTCTTTTTGATTTAAAATGAGAAATAATCACATTAGAGCTTCTTGAACATTGCTAACATTTTTTTATGACGATAAATGCAAATATCACTCTCCTGATCATAAATTCAAGTATTTGTTCCTTTAAATTATGTAAATTACAAATTATCAGCACTTGACCAATTTCTGGATATTAAGTGTTAATGATAAATTGTGAATATTACATGAAATATAAAAATTTTCAGCAGAAGTTTTGCATCGCATGATACATTTGAACGTGAAGACTTTACCATTGCAAATGCACAAATATCGTTTACCTTGGTTGCTGTTTAATTAAATTTCATTCTGGAAATGTATAAAATATCGCTTTGATAAGCTCAAAAGCTTATCCACTAGTTTAAGTCAAAGCGTGTTTTGTGTAATATCAATCAATTTGTTCTATTGTGCTTTAAAATATACTCCATCC